CTCACAGACTAAAAAGACACAAATGGAAGGCACTCAGGGCAATTGCTCAAATCATGATAGAAAAAAACAAATCTGGGAGGCCACAGTATAAAATCTGATGTGTCTGAACTGCAGACCAGTCTTTGGTGATTCTGTACACCCCATAAACTCCTATTTATTTTTTGTTGGGTAAACAGTGTTCTTCCACAGTCCGTGCCTCAAGACACGGACTATGGACTCCCCACTAGTACTTGAGCTTTAACGGCATTTGAACTTCAGCCTCCTCCCCTCCCCTGACAGATCAGCTAGCTCAATGATGAAGCCACAGTTACCTCGAGCTAGAGATTTGTGTGTGCAGATGGGAGTTAGGTTAGAGTTAACACTCAAGTTATACCTTGAACTAACAATGCTGTGACAACGTATGCTCTTAGTCTATGGGTTTGGTCTCAAGAGGCATTAAAGACAAACAAAACTGTGGGTGCTCAGCACGTGTGGGCTTAGCCCTAAAACAGATACAATCAATTAAGTTCAGACACAGGCTACATTCAGTAGGTTGAGTATCACTGTACTGGGGGAAGAGAGGGGGATTGTTTGTGTGTTTTCCCATTTTACTGCTGGATTATCATTGCAGAAGAAGTGAGTTTTACCCTAACCTTTGACACTAACCCTATGTGAGCCATTTATGCCTTCAGTCACCCAACTGTCCATAGGTGCTGATAAAAGTATTATTCAACAAGTGCAGCAAGATCTAGTTGACATTCTATATGGATAAGTATAACATGAAGCATTAGGTTGTTTCTCAGCAAAGAAGGTACAGCTATTTTGAGTATCAACTAAAGCTGCTTATTCCCAGGCTCCCTGTAAAATATGAAACATCATAGATGAAATGCTTAACATGGGTGTTTAAAGAAGAGAGCCCAACTAAAACATTTACATAATCTTTAAATATTAATATTTGTAAATAATACCTGAACATCTGCTGGCTTGAGCAAGGTCACTGGCATGGAGATAACTCCAAAAGGGTCAGAACAAATGCAATCTATTTTAGGACGGGAGGAGGTTGCACAGAACATTAGTAAAGCAACAATCTTTGTCATTATCACTTTACCCAATAGCTGTCACTAATGGGTTGACATCAGGCAAGACTTAACTATGACAGTTGGGCTGTTAATAACATTGCTTACATAACGGCTGCTCTAGCGCTTTACAGTGATAACTTTTCTTGGATACTTCACCTGCCTTCTAATATTCTTCCCCAGTCTCTCCTTGGATAACTCTTGCTCATTTTTCTCAGGTTTTACAAACATGCTCCATGACACATGATTTCACTACAATCTAATACTACTGCCTACGTTCCCTGGGAAATATTTCTATTTGGGTTTGTGTGGAGATGACAGTCATTTTCATTTGGAACATAAAGTTATAGGCCTGATTCACAGTATGTTACTCTGCTTTACAACACTCTGGAAGTGAAAAAGGGCCTTACAATGGGCACAGGTTACAGTTACACCCATCTTTAAGGCCCCTTTACACTCCCTGAGCAGGACAAAAGGGCCTTAGATTATATGAGAATCAGGCCCCATTGACTGGTATAACTCCGTTGGAGTAATGCAGTGGTGAATGAGGCCCTATGATTTTACAATGCATAACAATAAAAATATATAAATATAAACTGGATATAAAAAAATATATCCAGTTAATTTACTCTATTTTTTCCTAATCTTTTTCTATATGGTGTATTTTAGCACTAGAAATATACACAAGATTTTTTGATACCACAGGAACCTAAACATCCAGCTCCTGTCACAAAGTTGTCCGGTTGCATTTGATTGGTGCTTACATAGCCTACCGTCTAATATAATTAAGTTGTTGCCAAGGTTAGTTCTTAGCCATACACAGTTAAATCCTGTTCAGCTGCACCCATTTACTGACACCCATTGTCAGCCTTGGGCAATTTTGCTAGTTCAAACAAGGCCTTTGTGAGATGTCATTGTTTTCAGCAGAAATTACAGAAACATGGTCTCCACATCCATTCCCCACCTCCCGCCAAGATGCTTGCAAAATCTCATCTCTGAAGTTGAAAGTGCAATTTTCTGAAATGTCTTCAAATGCCGCTTCCAATAGTCTGCTCATTAAGTTGATGAACATTGGGTTGAAGTAACTGATTTTGCAAAAACTGCTTCAGGTTTTTAGGATCTTGCAGGATCCTAAAGATTGTATTGTTTTTTTTAAAATACTCTGTTAAATTGGGCAAAATATTTAAAATACACTGTATTAAAGTTACAAGAATGACAATGTAAACACGCCTTTATTTATTTGGGTGTGAAACATACAAAGAGACACCTCTCTCAGGCTCTGGGCACACAGATAAAATATTAAAAATACAATAAAAGACAGAAGAAAATAGAACAATAGAACAATAGCAGCAGGTCCCATAAAACCTAGAACTTCAGCACAGAGCACAACAAAATCTTGTCCTTCAGCTTCCACACCAAATGCATAGCAGCCCGCCAGAAAGAACATCTCCTGGAGATCACTTGATTCAGGCTATTTCAGACCAAGTGAGGAGAACAGATCCCAAAGTAGAGGGCCTGCCTCAGGAGAATACCCCACTAGCCGCGCCCTCTTGTATAAAACAAGGAGATTCCAAGCCAAGTCCTACTCTTCATCACACTTGTAGCAGTATCATGAGAGAGAGAGAGAGAGAGACAGTGACGTACTGTCTACTTCAAGTGTTCAAAGATCATGAGGCTAGCTTGAAAATCCTAAGATTTTTAACAATAAAAGATGCTTAATTCTTTTTTATTTGCATTCCAGTATCTGAGCCTTTAGGGTGCACTTGGATCATGTGCTTTTCTTTGCTACCACAGTGACTAGAAACTTACTGCTTTTTTCCCCCATGAAAGCAGAGATTCTCATGTAAACACATGACTCCAGAAGTTGGGGCTTTAAGTAAAACAGCAAAAGTCATGAGACTCACAATAAAATCATGAGAGCTGGCAACACTCAACTAGGCAGGTCTCCGGCAATGTAGGGCTTTTTAGGTCAAAATCAACACTTTCAACTCCATTAGGAAACCTATAGGCAGCCAGTCAGTTCCAGAAGTCCAGGTCATGTGCTCACAGTGACATGCTCCACTTAAGCAACAGGCTGCTGCACTCTGTACTCATTTCAGGTTCTGAACAGAGTTACAATACAGCATCTTCTTACACAATAGATTTGTTGGCTGAGTGTATTCTGAACTATTACTTGTAAACTGAGTAAATTTGATCTGGAATCATTGGGAGATAAACATGGATCCTACAGTGCCATTTTGCATTCTGTTTTGAGAATACAACCATACTTATTGCATTTTTGTCTACTTTCTTTCTGACTTTAAATAACATTTTAATATAATGCTGAATAATATGGTTACAATTGCCAACCACTGCAGTCATAGCAAGATAGGAATATAGATTACAGTCAGCACAGCCTTTCAGATTATGTAGTCTAACGTGAGCATGTGGTAAATACAGGTCTGTGCTGGACTTTTTTACCCTTGTTTCCTTTGGTAAAAATGTGCCATGTTGTGTAAGGAATGCCTGGCCCCTTCCTCCTAAATTATCAGTACAGTGTGTCTCCATTTTAAAGGCAGTTCACACAGCCATGAGTGTCTGAGCTTGCCCTCCTCACTTCTGGGAGGGTCGTTAGCAGCACAACCCCAAGTGGTTTATTTTTTCCAGTTTTAGCATTTTACTTCTGCCCTTTCATTTCCATCAATAGGGGGATCCATCCAACCCAAACCTTTCAGCACCAAAACACAGCCCTCTACTGCTTGAGCTAAAGGAGAACTCCTGTAGCTATAGATAAGTAATAGGCTTGTTATAATCACTGAAGCCAGTCATCAGAGGGGATACATCATTGCATGCATGCAGCCAGTGTTTTACACCACTGCTTCCTGCTTGGAAGCAGGAGAAAAACAGATAACCAGAAAAGTTGCTGTACCAGAAGCAGTTACAGGAAAACTTCTGTAGTTAAAAACCTTTACCTCTTGACCTCCCTCCTTTAAGGACTCTGCATAAGGAGGCGGAGGACTGATGCTGACTTACAGGGCCAGGGACTCAGTCTGAGCAGTGGAGCAGGGCAAAATACCGGAACATTCCTAGTTTTTAGGGACATGTGGTCACCTTAGCCTGGTAGCCGCTTGAAAGAGGACAGGTGAGGCTTTCCAGAACCTAGTTGTCTGTTAGGAAGACTGAGGGGGCATCTTTGATCTGCTGGCTCCTGATATGTGGTGGCAGGAACTAGCTCTCTGCCCTCTGCAGTAGCTTCTCCCCTCACCTGCTCTTTTTCCCACGTAGCTTTTCTGGGCTAGAACCAGCTACAGGGAGGATTACGTCAGGGCTGCCATCGCCACTGCTGCCATGATCTACCTCTGGAGTAGCGAGCAGGGATCATCCTTTAGAATCAAGAGGGTGGCTCCTAAGCAAATTCCTGTGGTTGATGAGTGGGGAAAGGATGGAAAGGTGTTGGTGGGCCTGGTTCCTCCTCCTCCTAAGTTGTTGTACAAGATTATGAGAAATCAGGTTTACAACTTGACAAAACTATTCTGGTTCTTCTGTGAGCATGCAGAGTGACCTGGCTGATGATTTATCTGTTTAATTATTTTATGATTTAATCATGTCAAATCAGAAGCTTATCATGAGCCTTCTTCACAACTAGAAATAAACATCCAACTAATAACTGTAGCTGTTCTTCCCTTCTAGACACAATTCTCAAGCAGAGTGAAATATCATTTAAGAAAAGGTCCAGATCCATGCTCTTGGAAGCACTACTCAACTGAAGGAGAGCTTACCGATAGAAAGGAGTCTGTCTGTTCTCCTAGGGTACTGGAGGCCAAAGTCTGCTACAGTTACCTTGGAGTATCCACTGAAGGTATTGGGGTTCTTTCCACCTTACACAGAGGTAGGAGAGAACAATCTGGTTCAGAGATATTTTCCCAAAACAAATGAACTGAAAAATAGACAGAACAATATTCCTACCTCCAAAAGCTGGCCTCATGGTGAAATCGTGGTCATCGACTCTCAAAAGCTGTTCTGTTTTTCCTTTCCGAGTTTTGGTCATGTCATGATTCTTCTTATAGATGTGGCTGTAAAAGATGAACAACAGGGCTGTTTGTTACGCCAGATCGGTAATCATTGTACCCGAAGTGACTCTAAAAAGATGACACCTTAGTGGATGAGAGTTATTTTGTCTCGCTGGTTTCCATGCGATGTTAAGGAGTAGCAATATGTATGGTAGTTTTGTCTGAGCAGCTCCCCGCTGCCGGAATTACCATGAGAGCAGCAGGACTTCTGGGCATGGTGGCGGGGGAGGCAGCGTGGAGGAGACAGGGATGCCCTGCTGCAGCTACTAGCATGGAATTACCATGCATACAGTCCACAGCCATATTTTTAATGTCCATTTCTAAGTCTAACAAGGTTCTCTCCGCTGCCAGCCCTGCAACTTCAGCATGGTCTCTGAGAATCAGGCTGTGCCCTTTCTACTTCAGATATCATTACTGTCAAAAGGATTCTAGAATGAGAGTGTAGCAGGTAATTTTGCTGAGGATACTCAAGGCAGGCTAGGAAGCATTTGCTTTTCTGCTGCTACGTTGTTTCTTTTGTGCTGACTATAGTAAAAATAGGGTTCGATCTAAAAACTAAACTGATGTGACTTGGACTTCAAACAGGTCTGCCCACTATCAAGGTGAGTGAGGTAATATCTTTTAATGGATCAACTTCTGTTGGTAAAAGAGACAAGCTTTCAAGCTACACCTGATCTGAAGAAGAGCTCTGTGTAACTTAAAAACTTGTCTTTCTCACCAAGTTGGTTCAATAGAAGATATTACCTTGTCTTGCTAATATACTGGAACCGACATGGCTACAACAACACTTCATACAGTATCAAGGTGACATTATTGTAGATTCACTTTTGTTTGACTATATTTATGCACTGTCATATGATGCTCTCAGTCCACTGTACCAATGGGAGCTGTGCGTGTGGATCGGGGGAAGCTTGTTTCCCATAAACCTTAGTAGTAATAAAATCACTCCATTCCCTCCAGGGTATTAGTATTGCATTGTTCTCACTCTACCTGAAGTCTACCTTAATTCTTAGTCCTCCATTGCCCTGTATAGCAAGTGAGAAAATGAATTCATTTTTCATTCAGATATAATGGAATATACCACAAACTACAACCACAGTAAGGAGATAGCAACAAGCCCCTGAATAAAGGGCTAAAAAAATTAACCAACCAGCATACACTGGGAATTCAATTATAGTCCTGTCAGCTAACTGTCCCTTGCACCTCTAAGAGAAAATCCGATTCTGCAATCACAACAGTTCCACATCAATATAGGAGGAAGGATTAGAATAATTAAGATCTCTGAACCCCTTTGCCCTGGAAGTGAGACCTTATAAGATCTAAATACTGCTGCAATTAATGATCAGAGAGTTACTAAGAAAATAAAAGGGGTGAGGCAGGACAGTTAAATCCATTTGTTTGGGGGGGTCATTGGCTGGTAGAGGCAGAACTTGAGTGGAGGAATTGGAACTCTATGTTGGCAATAGTGAATGCAAGAAAAAAAGACACCAAATGAGGATGAGAAGTTTCCAACAAAAACAGAGCTTAAAAATAAACATATGAATGATCCACTGAAATCAGTAAGGATCAGGTCTATGGGTAGAAGTGTTTCTCAGCATGTGTGTTAAATACTGGTGTTGTCTGTTTGCATATAAAGTTAATTAGGGCATGATGATGAACAGGTGGAAACACTGGCCAATATTCTGTGCTCAGTTACAGATATGCGCAACTCCATGGGTGTTAACTGAGTTGCACTCTTATTAAAATCAGCTATGCTACTAGAGAGTACCAAATGTTGCATCTATTTTGAAAAAGGTTGTAGGGCTGATCTAGAGAATTATAAAACAGTGTAAGCCTTACTTCATTGGGGGCATATTAGTTGAAATAATAATTATGAACAGAACTATTAAACAGTTAGATGAACATGATATGATAGAGCCAAACCAGCATGGCTTCTGTAAAAGAAAAGAGTGTATCTCTCTAATATGTTAAAGTTCTTTAAGTCAACAAAATAGCAAATTAAAGAGAACAGCTAATAAAATTGATTTGGGTTTTCAAAAAGCCTTTGACAAAGTCTCTCACCAAAGGGGTGTATTAAGGAAACTAAGTAATCATGGGGTGAGGTGTAAAATACTGTTATGGATTGGAAACTAGCTAAGAGGCAGAAACAAAGTAGGAATAAATGGTGGATTTTTACCATGATGAAAGGCCAGCAATGGGGTGGCCCAAGATCTGTACCAGGACCGGTGTTGTATAACACCTTTATTAATGACTTGGAGAAAAGGTGAACAGAAGAGGTGGCAAAATTTGTAGTTGACTTGAAATTATTAAATTACTCATGATTAAAAAATTTGGTGAGGAACTTCGGGACAACCAAACAAAGTGGGTAGCACAGTGGTACATGGAACCTGGTATTAGGCAAGCGGCAGACAGAGTCAATTTGATTAATTTCATGTACTCCTCTCTACATACATGCACATCATACATCATTTGAAATCTTATTATGTCTACTTTAAGATGAGGTATGATGTGGAGCTGTCAAGTGGTGCTATTACCAAAGAAACAGGGATAAATAGTGACACCATCTACATGTTAAAAATGATCATTTTAAACTAACAGAAATGAATGCAAATATTTCTATGATTCTATGTATTATTGCAAGACATAAAATTGGATTTCTTTGTGAGTTCAAAGCATCACAACAACAATGTAAAAGAAAACCTAACAATAAATCTGTACAAGTATCATTGAAATGTAATAGCGCTGGTGACATTTCTAGTTATCATCATCATCATCAATTTTTTCATCATTATGATCTCTGTTGAGAATGAATAGGTTACCACGATCTTCATTGCCTTGGCATTTACACAGTTCTGTACAGGGAACATTGTTCTGACTACAGACACAGCTGACTGCGCAGTGACCCCTACTGGTACAACTAAGATTTTGTAGAAGCTCAGATGTCATTGGGCCCTTGAAGAATATAGGATGTAGGTTCATGATCCACATTTTCCCATCCTTGTTGCAAAGGTGATTCAATATCTAGTTTATCTATGCGTGAAGACATCCAAACCTTGGTTTGCCAAGATGTTTTTCTGACATGATCTTCCAAACTGTCCTGACATGGTGGGAATTTGGCCAGTGACGTGTCCTTTTTAATGGATTGTTTGAGGTGCAAGCAATTCAGGTCTTTGTGGGTCTCCTTTTCTTTCTTGCTTTGGTCATACACCACTGCTATCAAATTCCTTGCTGCAGAAATTGTGGCTTGTCCATCACTTTCTCCCAATATGACAAGATCTCTCAAGTGGTAGGCTCCCTTTATTCTGACAACATTAAACACAGATTTTTCCTCCAATACCAAATAGGGATAACACAGAGTCACATCCTGGTAATGCATGCACTCCTGGAAGTATGTTGCAGAAGTCATGTGTGCACGCGTCACAAATTGCATGCACTGGTATAAAGCGATGCTTATCAATTGTCCTGGGAATGGTCCCTGTCTCAATCCATGTGTTATCTGTATGTTCCATTTTTGAAAAGGAATGAACAGCAAGCACCAAAACACCTGTATCAGATGACCTAATTATTTTGCTTTCTTTCACGCCGAGAGACCAAAAGGTCATATAGGCACATAGAGCATACAGAAGCATCCTTGTGTGCACTTACTCTTGAGTACTGTACAAATCTTGGGCTTCTTCAGTGCTTCTATGGATGATGGAATTTGCTACTTTGCTATTGGAAAAGCCCCCTATAAGAAGTAATGCCTGTGCTGGATGTACTTCTATATTCTCGGGTGCTTTTTGAACCATATAATCACAGAGGAATTTTACAAGTGACTGCTTGTTGGATGCCATGTTTAGAAACTTCTTCCATGGAGGCACAGGGAATCCACCAATCACTTAGCATTTCTTGCATGCAACCTTAGATCCTGTCCAGCACTGTCTTTTTGCAGTTTTCACAGAGTTACTATTGTCATATCTGTCAATGACTGATTACAGAATTAGCTTTGTCAAATCCTTTTAGGACCTGCCTCAACTATTCAGCAACCAATTCATCCAATGTGTGGAATTTGTCTACAGCCATCATTTGTATTTCAGCCATGGCATCTCTGATGTACACAGTGGTTTCTTTGTTGCATGGTCTTAGCTCATGGATTCTTTCAGCCTGTGCTTCCAGCTGATGCCCTAATTCAGTTTTGCCTGTTCTTCTCATCGTTCTATCAGCATGGAAGAGGGACATAAGAACATTATCTTGAAACATTATCTCTGCATCTAGCTCAGGACAGGTCTCTGCAGAAAACAATTTCTGGACTGCTAGTTGCTATGATTGTCCCTCCCTTATCAGACACAGACCTGGTCCACACTAACCCCCCACTTCGAACTAAGGTACGCAACTTCAGCTACGTTAATAACGTAGCTGAAGTCGAAGTACCTTAGTTCGAACTTACCGCAGGTCCAGACGCGGCAGGCAGGCTCCCCCGTCGATGCCGCGTACTCCTCTCGCCGAGCTGGAGTACTGGCGTCAACAGCGAGCACTTCCGGGATCGATCCGGGATCGATTTATCGCATCTAGACAAGACGCGATAAATTGATCCCAGAAGATCGATTGCTTACCGCCGGACCCGGAGGTAAGTATAGACCTACCCTTACATTTGATCTTCTTGGCCATGTTGGCAAATGTTCTGATGCCAGATTTCTTGATTGGGCTGAAGAAACTACATGTCCCATCAGAATCAAGTGCATCTCTCTCAAATCTCTCCATTTGTTCTTCACCAACATCTGCTATTTTCAGCAGAGACTCTTGTACATCTGATATTACATGTAGTCCAGTAGATGCATTGATAAGCATCTCTGGATGATTCAGGGTCAAATTGGTTTGTCATATGTTGATGATATGGTTGATAAGAGTTGTAACATGCTCTTCATCCCTCTTCAGTGCAGAGGAAAGGACTTGTTTATGGACTTTGTCTTCTCTACTTGCTGTTAGACCATATCTTTCTCTCATAGCTTTTGCATATTCATAAT